TTCCTGCAAATTTGTGGTGTACTTTCCCTTTCAGGCGTGCTTCATTTTAGCTGAATATTTACTTCCAGTAATACTATTTGATTCTTATTGTTGTTTGGGTTAGCTCTGGTATCATTTGGTATTAGAGGTAATCTACGGCTTGGTTCATTCTTCTTCTTCGGCTCTTCCTTTCTTCTTCACATAGAACACTCACGCCACTCTTCCCGCGATCTTAGGACATGGTCGGCTTCCCTCTTCTCTACGCTCAGCTCGTCTTACTTGCTCGAAGCTCAAGAAAGTCACAACATCCTCTCTTCCCTTACAGAAGCTGCTCGAAACCCCTTCGTTGCTTGACACCAACGTCGCCTCCTCCTACGTCGTCCTCCTTTACTTCGCACGCTGCTCAACTCCCAGGTATGTCGTCTGTCATGATTTATAGGCGAACCCAATCTCCCCTCAATTCTTCTGCCTTCTCTTTGCTTCATCTCCCTCTTTGTTTGGTTTCTCAACTCTTCACTTAATCTTCTTCGACTTCCTAATTTTCTCTATCAGTTTGTTTCTTCTTTCTCGAGTAACTAAAACGAGAAGTTACATTTGCAAGCATTAAGCAGAGCATCAGTAAGACTAATCTTGGATGTCCAAAATGGTCAAGAGTTTGAGAAGCCGATATCACATACAGAATAACCCCAAATAAAATAAATTAAGCATTTTAGATATATAGCCTACCTTTTGAGTTACCCATATTGAGAGAGGTCAACTCGTCAAAGATGAGAAGATTTTAAGTTACTTCTGGAAGATTATATGAAGTTATTTGAATATTAGATTCCGTTCAACAATGTACCACCATCAAATGTCTAGATAGAAGGGATGAACCACAACTTTGAAAATTTTCTTAGGAGATTTTTCAATGGGATCCATGTTTCATCAGTGAAGAATAAGAGGTCATATGTGATTGATTTGCCAGTGACAGTGGCATAGCTTAACACAAAATTAATTTTTCCTAACATACATACTTTATTAGCTACTTTCGCTGAGTACGAGAAGTGAAGAAAAATATTTCAGACTAAGGAGCTCAAGAGTTACATTGCTGAAAACTACATTTATATGAAGCTCTAGCTCCGGATGTGTCAAAAGAGAATGCATGACATGTTGTGGAATGTCAATGCCAACAGGACAGACTTTTCAGAAGATTATGTCATTCTCAATACCTTCAGCGAGGCCGACCTAACTACTATGAGGAGATAAAAGCTTTAACATATGAGATTGAAGCTCCCTCATCCCTGAAAGACTGATGTTAGGGTGTCGTGCCCTGCGAAGCGGTAATGCGGGGGCATTATGCCTAGAGTGACGGCGCCCCAACCCACTTAGGCGTGCCAATAACATTGCGAGTGCGGCTTAGAGGAGTCGTGGGCTTCTCCCGCATTGTCTAAACCGAACCGATCCAA